TAAGGCAAGCAGATTGAATCGATGCGAAATATGTATTCTGTTTCAAAGCCAAAGCCAAAGTCGATCAAATGAATTGTCCCGAGCAGACATCGACTTATGACAGCTCTTTGCAGCTGCAAATCGCAGCAAGCTGTCAGCCCTGCATGAGATTCAACTGTATCGAATTGCTATTCTATGGAAATATTAATTTCAAATTAAATTACATTTTATTATGTTGACATAATTTATGGCTCGCTTGCAATTAATATTTCAATCGTTAGTATTTAGTAGTTCTGCCAACAAAGCAAATTTTTATGGTGTTTTTTTTAAGCTATGCAGATAATTAATTGAAATCGCAAATAAAAATATGCTAGGTAACAGAATATACATATAAACCATTTAGTAAAATCATAAAAACTCTATGAATGTATATTTTTGTTACACTAACCAATAAAGGGAATTTTTTAAATAAAAATTAATACTACATATTTACTGCGTATTAAAATTTTTATAATTATATTAATTGAGATTTACCAACAATTTTTTTATTTTTTTTTAATGTGTAACATTTCTTAAGATTGATTAAAAAATATATATTTCATATTCAATTATGTTTAAAAAATAAATATTCAAAATATTAATAAAGTATTTTTTCCGTAATTTATATTTCATATAATTTTTTTATTTGAGAAAGATATATTTAAAATATTTAAAGAGTATTTTTTCCATTAAATTTCAAAGTTTTTTTTTTTTTAATTTGTAATATATTTATAGAGTATTTTTTCCATTAAATTTCAAAGATTTTTTTTTTTTAATTTGAAGGTAATTATATTTAATTTTAAGAATTTAGTATTGCCTGAAAATGAAGTTCATACTTGTTACTTTTTTTATTTTTTATAATTTTATTTTGAATTCAGTTTATATTTGTTATTTTTCATATTTTATTAATTCAGCTTAAATTTGGTTTATTTTATATTTATTATTTTGTAATATATTTTGCATATTTAAATACATACATATATACATCAATGTATTCCCAAAAAAGTATTTGCGATGAATACTGTTATTGATTAATTCAAATAGTTGTGAATAGCCATTTGTATCTGTCTGCTGCAACTTATCGGGGATTGTGATGATATTTAACAATTACTTTTTCCGTTTAGCTATTTGGCAGGTAAGCCTATTATGCTTACGTAAAGTGCTTATACATCACAGCTGGCAGTTGTATAAATACACAGACACACACATATACATATATAAACGAATGCGTGCTGTTGTTTATTTTACTCTGGAGTGTTTTTTTCTTGGCTGCCACACGTTGGCAGCCTTGGCTCATAAATACATTTACTTTCACTTTCGTTTCTATACTTCCTGCTCTTTATTCTATTTTTTCTTTCTTTTTCCAGCCACTGCAGAAAGTTGGCTACAAATCTTGGCTGAAACAACAACAGCAGCAACGGCGCGTCGGCCATGGCCAAGCCGAGAGGCGAGCGAATGACATCGACAACAACTTAAATGACAGTTTATAGCTCCCACGTTGGGCACGTGAAGCACGGTCGGACAATGGTTATTAAGCTGCGCAGCAACAGCAACAACACCAGAGCAAACAATGTGCCAGCAACAGCAACAACAACAACAGCCCAAAATGGCAATGAGCGGATTTGCTGGGCTCGAAACACAGCCAGAGCGCAATTTATTTGCCACGCCAAAAGCACGAAACGAACAAGAAACGCAAGCCAAATGCTCACCCATGTAACATCTATGTGTGTGTGTGAGTGTGTGCTACACGTGTGTGTGTAGGTGGTGTCGATTTGATGTATCGATGCCTGTGGTTACCTACCGCTGAACAATTGTCCATTTCATTTGCAGTTGATTAGGCGTTGCGACTGAAATGCATCATACGCCGCGTGGGCGCCAAAAACATAAAACGAAAACACTTTCAAGCGTCAAAGCGTGTGGAGAAAAATGTCACATTTCAGCAAAGAGAACAGTTGAAAATTATGATAGACGAGTGTCAAATACACTGCTTACATAGCATAAATTATTGAGATGGAATGGGTGGAATGGAACGGTGAATGAAATGGATAGAAGTGTAGTTTGCTGAGGCTTAAATTGGGACGCTATAAATACTTCCTGAAACATCTTTATAATATATAATGTATATATATATATGTTTAAAGCAGTTGCTACAGACATCATTTGTTCAGGAGAATGACGAAGGTTAAGGAAGGTAGGCTAAGGCTAAACAAGTGTTGTTTGTTGAGATTTTTGAAGTAAAAGTTTAGGATGCTCTATGAAATCTAATGTGTATTTGCTGCATATTGTAATTTACTATAGTGACATATAACCTTAAACACATAATTTATTCATAAGAAAATTATCTTATTAGACTATAAATAAACATTAGTTACATTTAATATTATCTAACTTCTATAGGGGTATGAACGGTTTAACCTATAGAAGCAGGCACGAAATCACCTTGAGAGAGGCTATAAATGAAGGTGTTCAAAACAAATATACAATGTTTAAAGAATTAAGACCACCTTTAATTTATTTGTATGAATAGATAAATAAATTATAAATTACAAATTTACAAAAATTAACACAATTTAAATATCTTGATAACTTTTCTTTATATAAAAAAATTTGTCATTATTATTTTTTTCTCTATTTAATTATTTTATTAAATTTTATCCATTTTAATTTTGGGTTTTATTTCGACAATAAAACTTATTTTATTCAATTTGGTGCATTCATTGATGAGATCTATACCTTAAACTTAAAAATATTTGAAGCCTATTCAAGTTATCTGCCCTCCATATATGTATTTACATACACGTAAAGACAAGCTATTGTTCTATAGTCTACTGAAACAGCTAAAAGGAAATTGAGTCTCATTGTCTTTGATAGAACTCTCCCATTCTCCCACTCTCCTACTCCCTCTCGTTCGCTCAGTCTCACAACGGCGCTAAATAACTTGAAAATTGAGTTTAGCGCAGTTGGAAAAGCCCCAAGTTGGCCCCCACCTCCCCCAACGCAATGAGTGTCGGTCCCCAGCTGACGAACGCGCATTGGCGCAGAATAATTGCAGAAAGAGCAGTTAGATTTGCGCTTATCTTGGCCAGGCTTAAAGCAATTGAAGCCTTTGCACTGCCCGACATCAATTATAATCCAAATGAGCCGTACAACAATTGCCGGGCGCCTGTTATCCGCCCCGGCAATAAAATGTGAGAGACCTCTCCCCTCCTTCCCAGCGGCTCTCGACAGACACTCGATGCGAATGACACTCCAAGGATTGTCGGACGCACTTGCGTGTGCTGGGCTCCTTTTAGCCTGCTCTACGCCGGGCCTGGCCGGGCCTGGCTTAGACGCACAATCGCTTAATCGGTTTGTTATTTATACATCTAATTTGATCTGCAAGCGACGGAGCAGCAACGCCTCACATAAACCCCAAGCCCCCAAACAACGGATTCCAACTAAAACCAATGTAACTTTAGTTGTAGCTGCCTCAAGTTGTTGTTGTTGTTGGTTGTTGTTGGTTGTTGTTGTCTGCTTGTGCACGCTTAAAACATGACACTTGTAAGCTAGCGTCTATTACGAATGTGTGTGTGTGTGCGTGTGTGGGACAGTAAGCCATGGCCATAAAATGGTCGAAAATTATTGAACAGCGATTACGAATGCCAAAACAATTTTGGGATTTTGCTCAAATGAACGATTTTATTTTATTTTTATTTGCTTTTATTTTATTTTATTTATTTATTTATTTTTGTGTGGAGTATTTCTGCTTGGACACTTGGATTTACAGTTTGACAGCAACTGCTATATAGTAAAGAAACTTTAAATATGATAAGGGAGTCGATGAGATTTAAATTTTTAAATAAATATTGATAATACAAAAATAAATATTATAATCGAGTTAACTCTGTAAACTCGGTAACTATAAATGGAATTCTCTATAGTAGCTGCTCTCTTGCATTACATGTATCTGTATCTATATGTCTGTGACCCACTGTAGCTGTGTGGAGGCCGTTGAGGCTTTTACCTATTCTGAAACTATGCCAATTCATTACATTATTGCCGACTGCTAGTTAACTGTTGATGGCGCTGGCACTTAAGGGACTATGCGGGGCATAATTCAATGAAGACGAATGCTTGGCATGGGCACTAGGGGCGTGGCTCAGTTTGGTGGTGAGCCAGAAACACAGAAACCTCGAAAGCAGAACATTTCTGGTATAAAATAATTGAAATCCGTTTCGAGGCAAACAGACGGAGAAACTGAGCAGACAGACTGGCGGACGGACAGGCACTCAGAGGCACACACACACACACACACACACACACACACATTTGCACTCTGCGGCTGTTGCCTGGTTTTTGGGGGTAGACACACACGCACAGCACGCATTTAGCACAACTTCATTTATCTTTAGCATTTTCTTTTAGCATTTAATTAAAAAGACAAGTTCCATTGTCAACGGCGGTTGGTGTGGGCGACTGCTGCGACTGCGACTGCTGCTGCTGCTCCTGCTGCTGCTGCTGGCTCTAATGTGTGTCGTCTATCCTCAGCCAGGCAGACATAACAACAACAACAATAGCAACAACAACAATAGCAACAACAAAACATATTTGCGGTTTTTACGCCGACATTGTCGCCCTGCCTGGCTGCGGCTGCCTCTGTCACATATGCCAGGGTACGGCAGGCTCTGCCTGACTGGGACAGACGGCATCGACTTTGACTATGCCAGGTATTTCTGGCTTCTTTCAGCTGGCACGCCCAACGCCCAAAGCTGACTGGCTATAGCGGCCCATTAGGAGCATAATCATGTAGCTTTGATAAATGCCTGCAAATTCAACATGCTGATTAATTAAAGTTGCGCCCCAGCGACAGTTGAGCAAAAAGTCGCTGCACAATGGAAAATTCATAAGTAATTCAACTTTGTCGACGCGTGAAACAACAATTTAAATATTCAGCAACGAGCAAGCGCTGTCTGTGTATGCGAGGGAGCAAGAGAGAGAGAGAGAGAGAGCAAGGGAGAGTGAGAGATTGGAAAAGCTTATTACCATTTTCACAGATCTGACATTCTCGTGCGGCCTTAAATGTGAGTGCGAAATTAAATGACAACATATTTGACACTGATTCTTGTCACACAGTGTGCTCAGTGTGCTCAGCGTGCTCCAAATTTATCATCTCTGTCTAAATGCCAAAGCCCCCCATCTGCATGGCCACGCCTCCATGCAGTCACGCCCCGCACTGCCGCGGCGCAAATTGCTGCCAGTTGGCTCATGTAATTTGTTAACATGCGAGCGAAAAGCACAAAAAAAAAAAGCGAGCAAAAAAACTTTGAATAAAATGAAAGACTAAATAAAATTTTGCAATGAAATTAAATGCCAAGCACGGTGGGACAATTGTGCACTTTGTGAGGCATGTGCATATATAGGGTTTTTTTCAGTGTATGAATTACAGCTCTATTGAAGTTTGCTAGTAATTGAACGAGGTACACCTATGGCTAGGCTCTGTTAAGTTAACAGTTGCTGGATTTGAAAATGGTATATGATATACATCACAAAAAATGTTGTAATGGATTAAGAGGGCGTTTCTTGTTAATATCAAACTTAAAATTATGAGTAAAACATAAAAAAATAATTTAAAATAGATAGATTTAGATATGGTGATTGCATGTTGGTGTGGTGTTAGATGTAGTGTTAGATATAGGATGTATTATTACTAGTAGAGAGACAAGTATATCTGTGGCTTAAAGTGGTACCGGCTGTTGCTAAGTGAGAGCGAGAGAGCTACTTGCATGCCTCACATAGGATGGAAATAGGAAATGGAGAGTTTGACAGAAGAAACACTTAAGCAATGACGACTGGAAAGGGCCTTGACGAGAGAAGTGAGCAACAGGGGACTGAACTTAGTTGTAATGTAGGGCGAGAACAATAATACGAAATTTGCATTTATTTGATTAGCAACCTAGCTAATAATATCAAGTATACAAAAGAACAATTTCGCTTACAACAAAACTTCACGTCGTATACTTGATATTATTGTGAATAAGAGAGACCAAACTAGGTCAATGCATTGTTTCTATTAGGCAAAACCTTGACATTTTACTCTATATAATTATTTATGATGAGTTATAGCAGCCAAGCAGATGCAAATGAATGCAAACGAGTGCAAAAATATTATTTATAGTCTGGAAAAAATGAATTGAAACTATACAAAAATCATATATATATGTATATACTAGAAATATTGATACTTGATAATTGAATTATTTTTGTATAAATAAGAATACTTTTTCAATTTAAGTCTAAGATTGCGCTGCAAAGATATAAACTAAACAAATTTAATTTATTCACCTTAACAGAGCTGAAGCGAGGCAGCATCAGCATAAACTCTGCTAACGAAATGTTAAGTTAACAGTGCTTAGCGTAACTCAGTTTTCTTTGAGTTTAGCTATTCACTTTAAATAAAATTAAAAATTTATTATAAATTTACATATCATAAATTGTATAATTTTTAATTTCAATTCAATTTAACAGTTCCTAGAAAATTCGTTTAGACGCTGAGCTGAATCGCATTTGCCAACAATTTAATTTGTTTAATTTCGTTTGTGCTGGATTCAATTTCTGTTTCCTATAACAAACTAACGACGCACACATAAGCACCATTTGTCAATGCTTGCAGGCGTGATTTACTAAAACAGAGCGTGAGGTAGCTCAGGAGTGAGAGGGTGAGTGAGGGACGGAAGATAAGGCAAGCACGCTATTAAAGCAGACAGCGTAAGCTGAGCGCAACCTTATATCAGATATAGCTTCAACTTTCTAATAAGTTAGCGTGTGTGAGTATGTGTGTGTGTGTGTGTGTCTGTATGTGTGTGTGTGCGGAAACACCTTAAAACATTTTCGTGCGATTTTGAAAAGATGTCAACAAAATTTATGCAAATGATATGTTAACGCTACTTATATGGAAATTAGTATAAGGAGTCAGGACGCGCCAAAGGCGGCTGCCGACGACGACGACGACGACGACGATGAAGACGAGAACGAGAACGTTTTGCCAACGTCGACGCCTCGTCCTGGCTCTGACACTCGGCAACAAAGCATGGCACTGGCTGGTGTTAGACTGTTAGAGGGGCGGGGCCCTTTGAAGGCTGAAGGACGAGGGAGCTGCTCCAACACCTTGTGCACTTTTAGTCAAAGTTTTGATTTCGTGTTACATGTGTCAGAATTTTAATGATGCTGATAAAAGTTGCTCACAAAATGGCTTTTTATGTGCGTTAGTGTGAGTGCGACAGAGAGAGAGAGAGAGAGCATGTGTGTGTATGTGACGCTCTGAGCATTGGTGTGTGGCTGTTCTTAAGCATATTATCCTTTGAGCGCATTTTAACTTCATAATGCACGTTGTTTGCGTCAAATTTTTAATTAGATATTCCTCGAAGGCATCCAGACCAAAATTGAATATGTCGAAAATAGTGTAATTAAAGGCTGGGCCAACGAGCTCATATGATGGCATCGAGATGGGATTGACATAAATTTGTATTGCTCTGTGACTTTGAAGATATAAGACAACGTTTTGCAACGAAAACGAAAGTTGAATTTTGCAAATTAAATTAAAAAGTATAATAAATAATTAATTAAGATGCTGCTTAACATTCATTTGAATCTAAGTGAAATAATCTTATGAGATTTCATTAATATTTTATCAATGTTATGTAAAGAAATATTAATAATTTTAAATGAAAACATAATATATTTTTTAATATATGACTATTTCTAAAACATTATAAAATAAAAGCAAAAAACCTAAAAAATATATACATAGTAAATATTTTAAACTTTAATGCATTAGAAAAAAATGAAAAATATCTAATAATTAATTTTAAAAAGTTTTTAGTTAAATGTTAAATTTACCTATTTATTCATGTATAAATATATATTTTTAAAAGTTATTTATATCTCTTTAAATTACTAAAACAAAAATAAAACTTTATTTTCATTATATTTAGAAATTAAAAAGGAAGTATGAAAAATAACAATATTTACTTAACATAAATATAATAAACAAAAATAGTTTATTTTTGAAAGTTACCTATAGTTATTTAAATTAAAAATTAAATTAAAATACAAATTTGTTTTAATATTATTTATAAATATTTAAAAATATAATATGTTAATTGACGAATTGTTATTATATTTAGATATATTTTAACAGTTATGCAAGAGAACCTGAAAAATTGATTATAGTTGGATGGAATTATATTAAATTATATGTGAATTATTATTTATTATTATTATATTTAAATTAGTCATATTAAATTAATACTATTATTTAAATTGACACTTGGCTTTAGCTTTGATAATTTAATAATTTATTCATTTAAAGTTCAACTCCTTGAACCACCCTCGCCTACATCTGCTCAATATAGTATATATACATATCGTAATATATTGCTGTGTCCCCATTTGCTCGCCGGCTCTTATCCAGCAAGTCAATTGTCGCTGGCTGCGAGCTTTCGGTATTCATGAGGCGCATAAAATGTGAATTTTAGAGTGAATAAACAAGGAATAATGCTCATGATAATTACCAAAGTCAAAGCGATTCTAACCAGTTAAATGCCATAATTTAGCATTTCGTTTTCAGCGCAGAGCGTCGAGCGTCGAGCGTTGTCGTTGTGCTTCTGGCGTCTCCTGCCGTCTCCTGCCGTCAACCGTGTGCCTCCTGGCGTGTGCCCTTCTGGGCCAGGACCTTTTGGCATTGGGGACGCGTGTGCGCGCGCTCGTAGCTGCAGGCCAGGGCTCCCCGCGGGCCAACAACAGCAACAACAACTACAACAACTACAACAACAACAGCAACGAAGGAATAGTACAATGATGGCGGCTGGGACGACGTCAGCAACTAGCTCAAACACTTTGCAAAGGGCCAACTGAACAAAGCCACTTGAGGTGCGCTCGAGCACTTTAACGGCTGCATGTCAACACACCTGTGTGTGTGTGTGTGTGTGCGTTCGTTTAGAACTGTTTTAACACCTTTTAGCCTGTTGGCGACACTGAGCCCAGCGACGTAACGGAAGGAAGGGGGCGAGGCAGCGCTTTGCGTTGCTGTTTAAAATGTTAATGAGCTTTTAGGGTCGCACACCAGTATAGGTGTGCGTGTGTCTGTGTGTGCGAGTGGGTGGCCATGGCTTGGCTTTTTTGGCCTGCCCTACACCTGCCCGGACCGGATGTGGTGCTGCCAGCTTCCGGTTAGCTGAGTCTTAAGCGTGCGCTCTCCACGTGCTACGTGAGTGGTGTGCAAATAGTTTCAATTGCGGCTTTTGCGCCGTTTGCTTTATTTATTTTTATTAAAACATAAAGAGGTGAAACGAGCACTCGCCGCCAAAATGGCATTGACTTTGTTAACATTGCGTTAAATTGTGGCGCATTCATTAGAACGTGCCGCACAAAGGCGAAAACAAGGCAGCCCAGAGTGGGCCAAGAGTTACGAACAGGCAATTCACTTGCACTCTGTATCAGTTGTAATTCCTGCAGTTGAAGACAATGGCCCAAGACCTGGAGCAGACTGTTGAAGCTGAAGCAGCTGAAGAAGCAGAAGAAGCCGAAGAAAAATAGATGAAAACTTTGAAGGCAACTTCATAAACTTGGCCTGGACACATACAACACGGCCAACACAGAGAGACAACAATGGCAATAGTCGAAACTTAAAATGTATGCGCGATAAGCGACAGCAGCAGCAGCAGCAGCAGCAGCAGCAGCAGCAGCAGCAGCAGCAGGCGGGCGGGAGAGAGGGGGACAAGTACTGTCCTTTGTGTTCAGTTATGCTGCTCGCACTTGGCCAAATCAACAAACTGTACAAAAACTAATCAGCGCGGCGGGCCAAACAAAAGCCGCTAACAAAGCGACGCAAATGAATGGAAATGGAAATGAAAGTGGAAATGGAAATGAGTTGAGTCTCTCATTGAGTTTCACTGAGTCTCACTGAGTTTCACTCACTCGCAGCACGTTAAACGTTTCGAGTGCCTTCTTAAAGAGTTAAAGTGCTGCCGGCCCACATTGCGCTTACGTCACGTGCGGCTCGGCGAGCCCGAAGAGCAACATAAATAAATTTCAATGCTGTGCAAATGATAATAAATGTAAAATAAACGCAAAATTCCACAAACAACAAGACACTGCAGCAAATAAAAATTAAAAACAAAGTTCCTGCGCAAGGAGTCAAAACAATAGCAAACACATGCACGCATGAGACAAGCGAGTGGCGCAAGAGAAGTTCTCAACGAAGCTATAGAGGGATTTTGAAGTGTATAAA